TGGCGATAGCGATCAACGAACTGATTTGGCTGATTAAATTATTTGCAGACGCTATCGCTACTTTTTTCAATCATCAACTTTATCAGTGGAGAAATTTTTAGTAGTTTCTCGTCAACGGTGTTTTTAACTTTCATCGAAACAAAAATATTTTTTAATGGATTAGCTTCTAATGAAGCTGACTTTTTTGTTTAGCATACCCATCAATCTATCACTGCAATTAACTAACTGCGTTCATATCGAAAACAGTCAGTTGAACAGCAATAATTCATAACGTAAAAGTGATAATAATGAAAACAACACTGAACTTGCGATATTGAAGGCTCAATCAAAACTGAATTTGCACAAAGAAAATTGTTTGAAAGCAAGTATTAATGCTATTATTATCAAAACAATTGGACAGAATGAGATAAATTATCGAAGATTGGTGAATTCAGTTTTGACTGAATGGTAATGAAATTGTGAGTTGGAATCAAACGATTTGTGGTAAGACAAAGAAAATATTGAAAAAGCAATTAATGATGAGATCAAACAGCCCATGGTAATGAGAGAGATTCGACGGGCAAAGATCATTAGTCTGTTTGTTAGCAGAAATCGATAAATGAAAACGGATAAATGAAAATTCATTAATCATCGCGTTCAAAATTCTGTTTCTTAGCTAATAAACTAACATTATTATTACTATCAAAAATTCACACAACAGTAATTGCGTTCGTCAGAAAGAGGTTGATGTGATATGATGTAATAAGTGATTGAATGTAGCTGATATCTGATCATAATGAGATATGTTAATTGAACATTCCGTCGAATATGCGCAATGCTTAAGCATACCAACAGACAACCGTATGCACTTTCCACCCTATGGATGCCAGCGATCACAAATCTCTTTTTAACTGCAACGCAGTTTTATTTTTATTTTTCATGTGAATTGAGATTTATGCAAATAAGCTAACAGCGTAACTTCGTAGAATAAAATTACCAGCAATAAATTTATTTGAGACTTCTGCTTGAAGTTTAGCCAGCGCATGAATTTGAGCTTCTTGTCGATGAAAATGACACAGAGTACTTAGTGATACAGAAGGATAACTTAAAAGAGCAAAAGAGTTCAAATGAAACATTCAATTTTGATAACCAATGATAAAATGATCGGTTAATTGCGTCATCTAAAAATAAAATGAAATAATGAGAATATATAATCAGGAATTTTAATTGATTAAATTTTGATGTCTTCACGTGTGTGTTCATGTGTCCAGTTTATTGGTTTTCATTGATGGCAATGAACTAAAATGGAGAGATAAATTTGAATGAAGAAACGCATTGATATGATTGAGATGAAGGATGAACAGCGAAATTCAAACGTTCATCTTCACATGTTCATCAACATTGTAAATATCATTTTCGCACTTTCAAACGTCACATTTCCACTCGGATGACTAGCGTTAAACCTTCCTTAATTCGCTTGAATCATGATTCTTCAAGCAGGGGAGCAGCGTACTTTAATCATCTATTGTCTCATAATTCGCGAAAAGTGATTTCAAAACGAAAAAAAAGAAAATAAAATGACTTGAGATGTGCATCAGCTGTTGCGGCTCATGGCTACTCTCATAACGAAACAACAATCCATGAAACTTATCGTCGACAACAGCACGCATTAATCAATGTACAACACTGGAACATGCAAAGTATCAATCAAACGATTATATTCCAACATCAAATATCGAAAGTCATAGTTGTTTCACTGACACCGTACCGTGACCAATTTACGCGTCTAATTGCATCAACTTTCACAGCCTTTCAATCATGCAAAAAGATAAGATAGTTGATTTAGTGTTATCGCTGAAGTTGTGCATTGGGTGATTTGTTCCGTGTAAGGGAGGAGATAATAAAATGTAAATGTGAAATGAATAAGAAGAAGCAGAGAAGCGACAGAAAGAGATTAAGATTTGCGATAGATCTCATGCTCGGTGGCTGGTCTATGAATCAAATGGTATCGTCATCATTGACTCTGAGAACGTCGTCTACGGTTAGATTACTTGTCGATGCGATTACGGCTGTGTGCTTACATAGTTCCTAAACAGAAATCAATGTTATGGTGGGGTTACTGCTTAGGCACCAGCAGCAACACTGCTTCACATAAAAGACGCATGCAGCAAAACTCATTATTGCAAACAGTTAGCTAGACAGACAGCACTTTTCTGCTGCTCGTTAATGAACAATCCTCATCCTCTCTTCAACTACCGTATTGACCATCGATAAACTATCCGAGTTTCATTCTCGTTGTGAGTCTTTGTTCATATATTACTAAATTAACAAATAGGTGAATATGTTGAAAGTCTTGTAAAATTTTGAAATTTTCTAAACTCAACATACTAATGAAGGTGGTAATGTTTCCAGGAATATCTGTGTTTCCATGAGAGATAAGAAAAAGAAAGAAGTCAGAGTTTAGTTAGTTGATAAGTATGAATGAACTGAAACCTCTGTTATGACTGAATAGATCATAAAAGGTTTGAAGTCTTATTCAGTCATTACGTAAATTGTTAATGCGCGTTTGGACAGAAACATTCGAAATTGTGATGATTAATTCTGACTATTTGAAGAAGACAGCAATGATGAAAATTGAATGAGGCAATGATTCTAATATCTCCAGTTCGTTGAATTCGTCGAAGTTTTTCAAGCAAAATCATGAAAAGGAAGCCAAGTTTCAAGGTGCAGTAATAAGTGTGAGTGTGTCACTGATTCCCGAATCTCTTTTTTCCCCCAGATAACTGGATGAATTGATTTTAACAATAAGAATATATGAACTGGGATAGAAAACATAGATACATATCCATGAAAAGTGAGATGATTTCTAAACGCTAGTAGATTTTAATGTCGTATCCTATACAAGTCAAGCACACTATTCGACTGCCAAAGAGAATGATGAAATTAAGATAGATTGTAACAATAAGAATGTATGAACTGTCCCGATAAGAATAAGAATAAGCTGATAAGAAGGTGAACATGATTCTCAGGAAGACGTAATAAAAATTCCACTCAACGTGAACGCAGTCGGACCAACTGCCGTGAGGTCGTGCTTCATAATCAGCCATACTACACCCGTAAACTTTTTGACCTAATTACACGCACACTTTCACCGTTATTCATTATTGCGTCGCTCCCATCTGATCCTCACTAATCAGTATTTCATTCATCATAACAACAAGTTGAATATCGTCTAGATC